GGTTGGCGGATGTGACGTGGTATTAAATGCGGTGGTTAGCTGTCTCCAAAAGGAATCTTCGATGATTGAGCATGTTTGGCCGAAGGCTCCTTGTGTAGCCGAGGGCTCCATGTGACCAAGGACCCCTGTGTAGCCGAAGGCCTTGTGTGACCGAAGGCTTGGTTCAGCCGAAGGCTTCTCAGATGCCGAGGGCTTGACAATGTCGAAGGCTCACGTTTTTCGCCGTTTTCTCCCAGTAGCTTCTTATGCCAGAGAAGGCTATCCTGTGAGTTTTGGAGCCTTCGCGCATAGAGTCCGAAGGCATCCCAGTGTGTATTCTGGGCTACTTTGGAGGCTTGGGCCGTTGCATTTGGGCCTGAGTTGTTCTCTAGGCTCAATGGACTTGTGTAGGAGAAGTAGGAGTCTATGGGCTGGGGGTTCCTGGGCCATATACTCCATCAGATACATAAAATTGTTTCTAAGTATGCTTCATTAAATGTTGATGAGTTTGTGATCAATCATAACTTAGTCCAATGCAAATTCTAATTTCATTATATTTGCTCTTAGGTGCGTATCTGATGATAGTAAATGTTTAGATAGATCAGTTCATGGAATTCCATCCACTTGAGCCAATTCAATTGAGCTGTAAATTGTCCCTAACTCCTACTAAATGGGTTCCTGGTTGGATAAATTAAGTAAAGTTCAGATGAACTCTAAGCTGACCTATTGTGTTCACCATGCAATTTGTGCTAAAAAGTTGTTATAAGCTTTAGTATCAGTTTAAAGATTTATATGATTTGCAGAATTTTGCAATTTATGTAAACTTTATAATCCTATCGCTTTATTAGCTATGCAACTTTTAAATCTATACTCATTTTTGAGTTCTGGACGAAAGTTTTTTTAGTTCTGTTCAAGTTTGGAATTTATGCTTTTACTGATGACTTAGATCTCTTTTTTATTGCTTTTTGTAAAATGTGTAATAAGGGATGAGTGTAGGTGACAAATGGTAAATAAACAAACTACATGAGTTCATTCGTTAGACATACAAACCTGTGACGGACCCTCCAAATAAATAATGGGACTAAAAGTAAAAACGAACTTGGGTGTGTGTGGGTTTAATCTTTCTATTTTTAAATATGAATAGATTTGGGATTGAACCGTTTCCGTATATGTGTGTGTGTTTATATTTTTGTTAAAGAAATCATAAAAGAGTTACAATGCATAAAAATCTAATTGTGTGCCTTGAGTGCTTAACTCCAAACCATTATATAGACAAAGATTAAACCCTATTACAATCCCAAATTGGCTAAAGTTATCATTGACTCCAATTCAAGAGGTGCATTGAAATTTATAAATAGCAATGAGGCTGTTAACTAGCTTAAATCTTTTTCATCTCAGAATCAGTAAGTACTAACGCAACTTAGAGATTGTATATTCTCTTAAACAGAGAGAGTAATGTTGCAGACTCCTTCACTGAACAAAGGGATTCACCGAGGACTTTCTGATTCTTGGATTTTCACAGTTGACTTTATCCTCCTCCAACCCGTACCGATGCATCGCCTTGACTGAAACTTGGGACCCTTTTTACCTCACTCACCCATTTTGATTTAGCTTAGGTGAGTTGATTTTTATCTCTTATGTAAATGGGACCAGAATGTTGGAAGTGGGAGCTAGACTTTAGTCTTTGACTTGGTTTAGGTTGGTCCTTCCTTATTCTTTCTTTTTGGCTTGATTCGATTTGGCATGACTTCTCAAGAAAAGATTAACTTGATTATTGTTTCACTTGGTTGGCCCCTTTTATGAGAAAAAAATATTAAAGATAAGTTAAATAGCATAATATATTTTGTATAGAACACGATGTTCTAAAACTTAAGTCTTGTTCACTTCATTCAAAAACTTAAGTCTTGTATAAAACTTAAGTCAACACTTCATTCAAAAACAAGTCTTGTTCACTTTATTCAAAAACTTAAGTCTTGTATAAAACTTAAGTCTTGTTCACTTCATTGCTATTGTTGATAGAAAGAATTTTTATGTGTGTATAGATGGCTTTCTATATGGAGACTTTAGATAATGTTAATCTTGTCAAGTAGTATGTTCAAAAAAATCAATCTTACGAAGTAGTACCCCACACCATGGACCCCTACATCCTTGTCGTCAACTTAATACAAGTACGAAGTATTTCTTAATAAGTGTTATATATATTTCTAGCTTTCCCTATCTTTGTGTATGAGTGTAAACTAATTCAGTACTTTTACTAGTGAAATGATTGTAAAAACATTAAACAAACATTTGTATTACACAAATAGTATTGGGCACTAACCCAACAAATAGTATTGGGCACTAACCCAATCGCGCATCGCGCGTGAAAATAACTAGTTAAAGGATAAGAGACGGCGTGGCTCGACTAGTGGGCAGAAGTTAGGTTTATTTTGATTTTTCCTGATTTTAATTTTTAATGTTTCGTACGTTATCAAGCCAAAAGCCCAATTGCCTAAATGCTGAAATCTGAAACGGCGGGAGTAAGGGAGAGGGTCAGCCAATTCCGTGATCTGGCCATTTATGGTTTCACGCTACAGCCAGTTTATTACGGAGTACTTCGTATATATTACTCTGTAGTTTAATACTTCAACTTATTATTTTGTCATTCGAGACTTGTAGTTATTCAATTCTAATTTCCATGTTTTGGATTTGGGTTACCTGCGAAGTTGAAATTAATATTAATATATTAAACTATGTGGGTGTTTGGATCTGATTCTTAAAATTGCTTCTACTCCTTCAGGGAGCAGGAGCAGAAGCAGAAGCTGGAGTGTTTGGATGAAAGTGCAGAAGTGATTCTGGTACTCAAATTTACTTCTATAATCAGTTTTTTTAGAAGTTGAGGGTGACCACTGACCAGCTTCTCAAAATTGATTCTGATTCTGATTCTACTTTTAAAAAAGAAGCAGAAGCGGAATCAATTTCAAACACCCCTATAAAGGTTGAGCTTCACACTTTGCCTATTTCAGAATTGACAGAATGTATAGTGATGCTTTTTTCTTTAATTATTTTTCTGTTTAGCAATTTGCATTTTATCACCTTGCTACAAAATCACTATTTTAGGCCAAAACTTTAACTCGTATCATATTAATTATTTGAATGTGTGAATATATTTAATTTGAACATTAAATATTCTGAAATGTTCAAGTATTCTTATTCAACAATACCGTGAAATTTTCAAATACGTAGGATTTTGGAAGAAAATACGAAGCATTTTTCAAACAAAAAAATATCAAATAACATTATTAAATACTTGTAAATAACAAAATGCTACGTAGTACTTACTAAGTATTAAAATAATTTTATTATTGTAGTGAAGAATAAAATTATCCTTTTTATGTTATCATTTTTAGGTATATTCATCTCGTTTTATATTATCTTTTTTATAATAGGTTATTTTTTTATCTTTATTTTCTTTCTTTTCCTTTTGGTGGTGATATCATGTATCGATTCATGTTAGCCGACATCAATATCTTTTGGGACTAAGACTTGGATATTGTTGTTGTTGTAAAGAATAAAAAAAAATAACTTTTGAAACAATAATATATGTTTATTACTATAAATTTTATATAAAAGTTGATCTGATCTTCCCAACTTTGATCGAGTTGACCCGTCAGATCCGGGTTGACCCGCCGGATCCGGGGTTGACCCGTGACCCGATAATTTGGTGAGTTTCTCAGCCCTTGCTCAAAGATCGTTCTGGTTCCGCCACTGTTGGCCACGACAGTCTGTTTTGATCCTTTAGTCTTTCCCATTTTTGAAATGTTAGTGATGTGTAGTAGCGACGAGAGTACTAACTTGATTGTTCTTTGTCTCTAAATGAAAGCACCAAATGGTAGCTCACCGGTAAATCACTAGCAGTATTATGGAGAGAGAAGGGAGACTTACGAGTTAGATATAGCAAGTAATCTGATATTAATGAATTCGGAACTATTTACATATTCCCCGAGGGAATATTTATACTAGTAATAAATGAGTGGTGCATGAAATGCATGTACACATGTAAGATAATTTATGGCCAAGAAGTCGAGAACCCTGAGGTGTCGCAGAGAGCAATGTGTGTCATTCATTAACCGACTGTCAAGTAGATGTCTTCTCATTGGACGAGGTTACGTAGGTCGAGGTGTGTGTGCCCCTCATCCTTGGTGTTTCCCTTGTGTATGAGTGATGGTGTCTGGATATATGTCTCTGGACGAGGTGTCACTAGCTGAAGTGACTAGTACGAACAACGGTGTTCAGTGTAGTTTTGACTTTTGATCGGCTTTGACTTCACTTTTTCTGTGTGCGCTCTTATATGGCCGAGGGGCCCAGATGAGGGGGAAACGCTTGTGTATCTCAAAGTATGTGTGTCATGGGTTTGAGCTCATATACTCTATCAATGCATTTGTTGTTTTTGGTCATTGGCTGTTGATTCTTGTGTTTTGAATTCGAAATTCAAATAATATAACCGCTAAGGTAGGGCGTGGAACATTTGTTGTTTAAATTCCATTTATCTATCTGTAGTAAATAAATTCATTCGAATATAATGCAAACATATTTACATTCATAATATTCATAATAATTTAAAAAATGACACAGACCAAAACAACCGGTCAACCGCGAAACCAGCCTGCAGTGTACCAGTCTCCATTCATCCCATTCCCATCCACCCCAGGACCGGCTGGTCAGGCATTAGAACCAGCCCAGATCTGAGTCATCTGACGAGATCCAGCACTATGACTCGTATGTAAAATTGTATACTCCTCTATTCATAACTCACATTCTCACAATCGAGCAATTTGCGGATTTTTCAAATCAAAATTATATACTCTGTATATATAAGCTTGGCTTGATTTTGTTCGAATTGGATTCGAGTTTGAATCAAGTCATTCTCGAGTAACAAATTAGCAAGTCTAGGTTTTCTTATCACGCCTCATTTTATTTTTCTATTTTTTGTTTCATACAAATGAAATCAATAGACAGAGCCACACAATGTATTGGTGACTTGGTGTTCAAAAATCATATGGAAATGACACAACTATATCCATTTCTTTCTAATTTAATGTAAGAAAAACATACTCGTACAAATGATAACAGACATGACAATGCTCCGTGATAAAAATGAAGTGATCGACTTGTGCATCTACATATGCTATCTTCGAATACAAAACATGAATCTCTAGTTTTTAAGTTTGCTAACATGTTGTCATCTGACATCTGATTGATCTTAGTATCATAAGGGTGAACGTGAACCCACCAAGGAAAATGCTACTAAGCCAAGGCAAACATTTGCACCTGAGAGGCGACTTCTCTTATAACCGTTGTGCAGGCACCTGTTGTTCGACTTCAACTACGCCAAGCTGAAGATCTCTCCAAATCAACATCTTCTTCCCACCATGTCGCAGTCTGCCAACAAACGAATTAATCAACCGAATTTCCATCGTCGAGCAGTGAGTAGAATCAAGAGAGGAGAATCCCACGTACCTTATATCCTCTTCGAAGAAAGCCAAGTGAGCTTCCTATCTCCTCCTCAAGACCGATAACCCGCAATAGCTCTTCTTTTGTCTGCCACCATAACAAATAAACACAAAGGAGTCACATAACCAACCATATCAAGACACTGGAGGACTTTAGTGTGTTGGAGCCTACACACACTTACTTCTCCCAGTGTGAATCGAGATTCGCTCTCCGCTACACAGGCAAAAGAACCATCTGATTGTTTCAACATCACCTGCCACGGGCCTGATGTTCATAATAATAGCATGTAAGTTGAGACAATGTACAGACAAGTAGTGATGTTCCTAGAATTCACCAAGAGGCAACAAACCATGTAAGGTGCATGCATAAAACTAAGTACCAGGGTATAGACGAAGTAGAGCTCCACTATAGTTTACAATATACGGCGCCACCGCGACAGTCTTCCCACACGAAAATCGCAAGCATTATTGTTAACTTTATGGGTAAAAAACAAGCCATTTTTTTAAGAAGAAACTAAAGATTACAAGCTTGGGATGCACCTTTGAATACTCGCGAGTTCGAATGTAAAATACCGGGGTAAATTGTGAAAGGAATCGATAATGCAACTGTTTTGGTGGAAATCCCAAAAGACCTAGGTCAGCACTGTAATTTTTCCAACAGAAGACAACTAAGTCATCATAAAGAAAGGGTTCAAACTCAAATTAAATAAAATACAAAATAAACATCACAAAAAAAGAAATTAGAATATACCGCAAAGTGTCAAGTTCTAGATTAAACAGCAGAGTAGGGGTGGAGGTTGCAAACTTTTCCTGCACACTCCAACACACGGCAAAGAATGAAAAAAGCTAAAATTATAGGGCAGAAGCTTTCAGAGAATGTATACATGTAGAAAGCTCAGTTTATATACAATGCCAGGATCTACCCATCTTGCTTTCTAATGATTACAATTATTTCTTTAGATGGGTGGATGTTAAGCAACACCTGGTGGTACAGATGAAATATTTGTCATCACTCGGTTTGGCTCCGTATTTACTGCAGTAATTATTCAATGTTTAAATACAGAGCCAGACCTGCAGTAAATAAAAGACTGGGAGTTAATTTAATAAAAGACTGCAAAGTACAACTTCACTCGGTCTGGCTCCGTATTTACTCATACCGCCAATTTTCTATCGGCTGCTGTCCAGGGCCGGTCCTAGGGGGAGACTGCCCTAGGCCCAAAAAAAGTAGAAAGAAAATTAGGCCCAAAATTTTTTCTTTATATGTAATGTGAATAAGCTTCTTTTTTATTTATAAATTCAATTAACTAATTAGGCCTAATGTGTAATTTTTATTGACAATTTGAAAATTTTAAAGCATAAGTAAAAAGTCTTTATTGGAGCCAGACAAGTTTTAAAAAATATATATACATTTAATTTTGATTTTTAAGTAGAGTTGGTTGTAAGTCAACACATTTGTTGCTGAATCAATAAAAGCATGTATCTTCTGATCTTTTTAGTCTTTAAGGCTTTTTATTCCTTTTAATTACAAAATTACCAATTTATACTATTGTCTTTGGGCTGTCAGTGCCTCTCAATTCTCAAACCTCGTCCCAATTATCTGCAATCGAATATGTTTCAAAAAAGCTTAATGGATTGATAATTTTAAGCATTGAACATGAGATGTCGGAAAAGATTGATTATAAAGTAATTGTTGATGATTTCACTTTAGAATGTTCTTTTGTGATACTTGTGTTGTTACTTTTATCCAAATATGTAATTCAAATAATATTAAAGTGAATTTCATCTTTATTTTATACTGTGTACCCTAACCTTTATTAAATAGTGTTAGGGAGAATTTCTAAAATAGGAGTAAAAAACAACGTTTGAGAATTCCATAATAGAATTATCATATTTTTATTCTCTAAATAGAAGTAATTACTGCCAAGTTTGAAAAATGTCGCCATGTTTAAAGTGTTACACTGCCAAAACATGGCAGTAATTACTCTTATTTAAGGAATAAAAACATGATAGTTCTATTTTGGAATATATATAAACGTTTTAGTCCTATTTAGGGTAATTTCTCATAGTTTTATTATACTGTGTAATTCTTATTTTAGGTAAGTATAATTTACTGTCTGCATTAGAAATAAGGCCAAAATAATATATCACCCATATGCCTAAAACTGGACAGGACCAGCCCTGCTGCTCCCACCAAGTCTTGACTAAAATTTTCAGACCATTTCAAATTTCTGTGGATGTGGGTCCAGCTGTCCAACTCCAGCAGGGTACCACGCAGGGACAGAGCTATGCTTAAGGGTAGGGGGGCCTTGGTCCCCCCAACATTTGAAATTTGTTATACTATTAGTAAGGCTTTTATAGATAATTAAAGCATGTCTCCACTGAAAACTAGAGTAGCGAGCAAGATATGAGTGAATATGACATCCTACCATTTAATGGAAATTTAGTTGAAGTCTGAAGGACATGAAGCACTAACTTGAATTGGAGTTAAAATTTCCTAAGGGCATAGCAACACCTAATTTGAACTAGTAAAGTAGTAAGGATAGATACAATAATTTTAAAGAGTTTAATGAGTATGTAACACTTCGAATAATGAGTAGGGAGTCACAGGGACTCTTTGTCCCTCAGCAATTTTTTCATTTCATTAAATTTTATTGTGTAAAATATTTTGGACCCCCTCTTTTTTTTTATTCTGGTATGGCTAATAAAAAAATCCACCTTACCCCATGGTGTTCACCCTATTTTAGAGGCGTAAATGCGTAATTATTTCATCATAAAAATATATTGCATAGTATGAGATATGATTGAATCAATGAAGTGTAAACTTTAAACAAAATTCAAGGGAAGACAGTGTTAACTTGGATTTTTTTCAATATTGCTGATAGCTTATATTATGTCTTAACAGAATATTTTGAATGTCTTAGGCTAACGGATGGGATTCCATCCTCAACAACAGGTGGCAATGCGGTACTGTGTACCGGAATTATTTTTAATATCAATTTTATTAGTAAGGGGATTTGAGTTGATTTTGTTATTTCAACTGGATAAATCAATTGCCAGTCATCGGAGAGCAATTAATGGAGGATCAGTTGTCCAAAACAATGGTCAAAAGCGTGACACCTAAAGCATTTGGATAACATGTAAAATCCTTACAGCACAAGTAGTGCAAAGCATCATACCACATACTTCTCTATGGAAGAGAGATCACCCGTGCTGCAGTTGATAAATATATACAGTGATGGTGGCTTTTCAGAGTGCCACCGATCTGCATTATTGACAAATGGTTGGTGAGATGTTAAGCTTGTCACAGTTATCTATGAGACGTTCTGGAACAAGGAGAACCAAACCTTCATTTTCATCCTCAAAATCAAAATCCAAAGTTCGACTCACTGATCTGAAAAATGCTTTCACAGGACCAACAGGTACATCATCCAAGGTCCCAATTGTTAAACAATCAATCTGAAAAAGTACATTAATAGACACTGAAAGTTTATCACTACTTGACATCAAAATATATTTACACATGGTCAAATGTTCTCAAACAGGCCACTCGCAATTGGCTTAGGAAAACATATTAAATCGGAAAGCTCTAAACATGTAAGAAAACAACACAGTCAATTCAAAAGCAAGTTGTGAGGGATGTATCTAAACTCATGCACTTCTCTTAGGATTTGACACCTTGAGGCTATTAGAGCACTTGGTTCCTCTGGGCTTTGGATGTTGACCTTTCTATTTGTGTGCATTTGTCGGGGGAAGATCTAGTAAGTAGAAACTAAGCAGTGAAGGGATATGCCCCTATTTAGTGGAAGCATATGCCTGCCACAATGCTTTTGCATTACACTACAAATATAGAAGACCAGATAACATTGTCCCTTGTAATAAAAAAAATAAAAATAAAAATGCTCACAAAAAAATCAATGCCCTACTACATTTTTTGTCAATGGACCAAATGGACGATTATGGGTGTGCATAGGCTTTACTATGATAAGACAGACGTAGGAAAGAAAGCACTATGAGAGGGGCGAAAGTGAGTAGATTAATAGGGTTTCGATTGAAAAGGGTCGGGGAGAAGTAGAAGGGAAACAAAAGTTAGGTTTTGTCTTCATTTGCTTGGTTAGAAATGTGAAGAGAAATATAATACTTTTATGGGTCCCACACAAAAAGAATCCTTCTTCCCTGCTTCTATTCTGAAAATAGTAATATTTTGAAATCTGAAGATCACATTTAGAGAGAAGATCTTCAACTTCTCGCCACTTCAATGTGATGATGTTGTTTCAGGCATGCTAGGGAGCTATGAATTGCGGACTACCCAACAATATCTTCACTGGAAAAAGTCTGGATAATATTTTCTCCTATGCAAATTTTTAATTACACAACGGTTATGTTTGGCACAACGAGCTGGAGCTGGAACTGAACTTTGAAGTGCTGGATCTGAATTGCTAGCCGAATAGAGTAGACCCGTTTGGTAGAAAAAGCTGAAAAAGTGTTGGATAATATGAAATTACATTAAAAGACATATCATTTATTAAGAGAATATAATATTTATGATTTTAATATGGCTGGTCGTAGCTTGTCTCTTCTTCCAACGTCCCTGGCCGGTAGCAGCCGCCATCTCCACTTGTGGCCCTGAGATCTACACTGCTCGCTCCTTTCTTACCTGCAGGGTTGGACTCACTGCGCCGGCGCACAATTAATCATTTGTAGTCCTCCCTTGCTCCCAGCCCACACGGAAATTAAGTTATTCATCTTCATGTATGTCAATTATAGCAAAAAAGCAAACACAAGGCAACACAACTCCATAAATTCACACTATATTCGTCCATGGGTTCCCACCATCGCTCTTACATCATTAATATTCCAAAGAACGAAGAAGAAATCCAGAAATTGAAATCCGCGAGAAAGAAATAATAGCTGAGGAGAAAGAAAGACGGGAACCAGAGGACAATTTGGGAACGTAAATAAAATATATGATAGGCTGAATGAAAACGCTAAGGTGGGTAACGTTCCAATTCAGTTCTATTATTTCAGATCCAGCTCACTTAAGTTGTTTTACCAAACAGGGTTATTTTTAAAATAATTGACTGAATATGAATTATTTCAGCCCATTTTGAGCTGATTTGGCTTTCCAGACATAGCCGTTCATCTCATACGCAAATGAATAGTCTTGTAAGATCTCATTTAACCTAAAAAGATATTAAGGTATCTCTGAATTCAAATAGTCGCATTGACATATCGTTTTTTAACTTAATCTCAAAGACTTCTTGTGATTTCATGTGTGGAAAAACATTTGTGAGTCATATTTCTTGCATGATAAATCATTTTCACTATGTTTATCTCGGTATTGAAAGATGAATGTACGTCTTTATCATCCACATAAGATTAATTGTGTTGCTGAAGATTTCATGTCTTCATAAAATATTTTCTTAAGATTAATGTTTATTTAGATATTGAATTGAAAGTTGAATGTAACTTTTTATCCAAATAACAATAGTTTATTGCCGAAGATATTTTTCTTTCCAAAATATTTTCCTAAGGTAGTCAGTAGCTCAGTCCTATTCACAACGTATTCAGGCAAAATATTACAATGAAAGTCAAGTTTCAATTTTAAATATGATTATAGAGATGACACAGACGATAACAACATTAATAATAATAATAACAGTAATATTAAAAACTTAATAGAAATGTTCCGTTTTACCGAGTCAAAAGCTGTTCTGAGAAGAGTTAATGCCCTACGCTTCTCTGGCTTATCAGCAAAAACCTTCAAAGTAATCAACTTTATAAGAGCTAAAATCATCTCATTGAGTGAAATAAAAAACATTAATAAGTTTCTCTTACAATGCAAGCCTGTGTTTCCTTCTTCTCTTGAAGCTTCTTGACAAGAGCCAAAGCAAGTTGAATGTTGGCATCGCTAAACTCATCTGATGATCCCTTCACATATTCATGAACTCAAAAATGTCATGCAAATGTGAAGCTTTTGTCTCAATCACGAGGTTTCTATGAACGAAATAAAAAATTGCATAAGCCATGGCCAGCAAGGCATATACATCTTATATTAAAGTCACATGATTAGTTGAATGTCAAAATGTTAAACTTGATATATTACCTTATATGATGAAATATTGCTGGGCAAGGGACTGAGGATGCAACCATTGGAGAGTTGAAACATAAAAATAAAACCAAAGAAGTGGTGAAGTCAAGAATGAAAGCTTGGTAGTTGAGAAAATGACAATCAGTGTAACATGGAAAGAAACAAATGGAGGGAATTTAAGGCTGCCTTTGGCGCGCATGAATATGGTATGAATGAATTTGTGATTAAAAAAATATTTTCCTTGACTGCGCCAAATAGCAGAAGGAACCAAAAAAAAAAGTTTCTTTGCATCAAAGTATAGCCAAACATATAATACAAATACCCTTCTCTTAGTTTCTAAAAAGAGTTCATCTGAAAGAATTTGTTCCCGTTCCACAACAACAACAATAACACCAAGCCTTAGTCCCAAAAAGAGACTAGGGGTACGCATGATTATGATGAATTCATAGTTATCTGTTTAGTATAGTCCGCCTGATCCAATAGCGCTCTCAAGTATGCAAAGCCAATTAGACTATAAAAAATGGAGATAGAAATGAAGAATACATGAAGATTAAAACAACATATACAAATAGAAAACATAGAACTTTTTGGGTAAATAATAGAGTAAAGAAGAAGCGAAATGAGAATTACGGGAATTCGATTTCTAAGCGAGTCTTCCCGTCGCTTAGAGCGTAAGAGAGGGAATTGGCGGCGTCAGATACCAAGGCATCGTAAGACCTCGGCTTGTAAAGTGCAACTCCAAGCTTGGGGTCGGTGGCTTTTATCTCTTTCTTGGCGCACTGCGTCAATTTGAGCTGTGAATGAAGTGAACTTTGATAGGTTTGGGGACGCAGGCAAGGAAATGGGGTGAGAGACGACGAAAAACGGAAATGTTTGAACGGAGCTCCAACCGCGGAAGGAGATGAGGCGGCTGCACGAACTGACATTGCCATCACTGCTTTGGTTGCTGGCAAAAGCGTGGAGGGAAATCCTCATCCGTTTTCGAGATTACTATGGATAAAGAAATCCTTTGTTTCACCTTTGGATAAACTATGGATAAATTATTTGTTTGTCTACTTTAGTTTTGTAACGCAAAACATTGTAATGCCCATTGTTGCATCCTCTATTCTTCCATTTGGGTGTTTTCTTCTTTTGTGTATATGATTTTAGAGTTAATTATCAAAATAGGACTAAAAGTCATTCACTTTGCACAAATAGGACCAAAAAATAAACTATGTTTCCATAGGACTAATTATGTTTGTCTTGGACAAATATACCCTTATACCTATTGGAATGTTTTAATTCATAATAAAATAATAAAAAATAATAAAAATTCGTAAAATATACCAAAAAATTAATAAAAATATTCTGAATAATAATAAATTTAAAAAAAAAAATAAAAAAAAAATAAAAAATAAAAAAAAATAAAAAAAAAATAAAAAAAAAAAATTTTTTGTCACCGCCGCCTATACCGCCCCAGCACCACCACCTCTAGTCATTTGAGGAAAAAATGCCAAATTTATTATGAATTCCATATTTTTGGCATAATTCAGAATGATTTAAGATGGAAGAAAAAAAATGTTGGCATTCTCAAAGAGAAATATGCCATATTTTTGGCATTTTCCGAAAAAAATGGAAGTTTGTAGGAAATATGACATTTTTTTTAACGGTCGGAGGTGGTGGTGCAGGGAGGCGGTACCACCACCTCCTGTCACCGGGGTAAAAAAATGGCAAAAAAATTATGAATGCCATATTTTTGACAAAAGTCAAAAGGATTCAAGTTGGCGGAATGAAAATGTTGGCATTCTCATAGAGAAATATGCCATTTTTGTGGAATTTAAAAAAAAAGTGGCATTTTTTACACCGATCGGAGGTGGTGGTTCAGGGAGGTAGTACAGACGGTGGGAAACGTATCCATATTTTTTTTAATTTTTTTTATGGAGTTTTACTATTTTTTTATTAATTTTTAAAATAAAAAAAAAATTAAAAAAAAAAATCTTATTTTTTATTTTATAAAAAATTTTATTAATTTTTTTATTATTTTTCTACGAATTATTGAAATTTTTTCGAATTTATTATGAATTAAACATTTAATTATGACTTTTAGCTATCTTTTACTAATATTTAAAGGAGGGGTAAGAATGGAAGGAAGAAATGAGTATGTTTCCAATAGGACCACTATGGTCCTATTTTGAAAAAAAAACATAACAAGTCCTATTTTGAGTTTTTGCCATAGTTTTAGTCCTATTTGAAGTAATTTCTATTGATTTTATGGCCTAGAGAGAGATGTGTATTGTGCGCTCAAGTTCAATGAAATAAGGAGATAGGGTTTATAATTTAATTGATCGATGAAAAGATACTATTTGCTTCCTGAAAAAATATGTTTTTCATCCCTGTAAATATGGGGTGGTTTGTTTTTGGTCCCTGCAAAATAAAAAAATTGATATTCATCCCAGAAAATGTCAATGTTATCTTTTTTAATCCCAACCCCTAACCTCCGTTAAAAAAAATGACGTGTCCGTCAAACTCCCCGTTGGCTTATCCCATGTCACCGACTTCTCACACCTCATGCCATTTCGTTTCCACCTCATTCTATACTCCAAATTATTATAATCATTATAATCATTTAAATGAGGGTTAAACAAGATCAATTACATTCACCGTTCCCTGCTTCTCTCTGTAAACATCAACCGACTCCTCCTTCTCGCCGACTCAACCCCTTCTTCGCGATTTTCTCCTCCATCGTACACTCGTACTTTCTCGTGTAAGGTATATTTTTTTTATTTTAACTCGTTCCCTTCTTCCTTGGTTGGTGAATATATATATACTAGCCTGGACGCGCGTTGCGCGACAAAAGATGCCCAATAGGTGCAAAATAAACGGGAAAGAAATGGTATTAGTAGATTTAGCGATACACATGGAGAGTGAAATTTATATTAGGTGCAGATCTGTGTGCACTTGCCTAATGCCAATGCATGCGTATCTAATGCAGTAAGCAGATGGGGGAAAAGAGGATGGCTTTGTCGGGCGCAAAGGTACATATAAGGAATCAAAAAAATTCAGAAGTTTAGGGCGTTATATGACATGATAGCAGATATTAAGCACCGAAGATGCGGCGTCCCTGGTTCAAAGTTTAGTCTACATGGTACAGCAAAAGAGTAGGGCTCGCAGGCACTTAAAGAAAGTTTTAGTTCCACAGATCCAAGCAAAAAACATAGCTTATAACATTTAGGAGTAGGAAGTTCCTTAACAGTCGGCGCGCATTGGTGTGCAGATTTCATATGTTTTAGCACGTTTAGGGGGCTCTTCCAGTCCACATTTTGAGATTGCCATCAGCAGTGCCCTACCACGTCCATGTTTGATAAATGCTAGAGTGGTTTGCCGGTGGAGGTGAAAAGTCTTTTGAATGTCACGTAACATTGACTCTTCCCTAACAATGGAGAGCCGAGACTGTTTTCCGTAGAAGACCTGTAGACGTCCCCTCATGTCAGTGCAAGAGCGCAAAAATGCCTCACAGAATTGCTGCATTGAACAAATAAGAGCATACCGTAAGAATTCCTTTGCTAGGATGACAATGGTACAGATCACAATATGTAAGATCCTATGGAAAACTAAATATGTTGTAAGGGTTTGGGAAGCAAGAATGCGTGCAAAGATACTAATTAGGAAATAACATTGATGAAATCACCTGCTGAGACATATATGTGGCATTCATGTGCTGGTTTTCCTAACATGGGTAAAATATGATAGTAAACAATGGTAATGACATGGATGGGCAAAGTGTGTTCAGTTGATACAGTGTGCTATACAGGAGGTTAAAGCCTTCTAATAAATGCAACACACAGGAAGACTCAAAGGACCACACATTAAAAAGCAGCAATGAATGGCAAAAGGCGTATACCTTAGGCGTCTGTTTGTGCACATACAGAAAAGAGGGAGGACAGTAGAGTTGCCTGTATGTGCTATCTGGAAGGCAGGAGTCGACGTGAACACGAAAGTAATCTGCAGTCATTAGGAACATATATAAAGAACGCACAACTGTAGGAAGTGTTACAAAGATGCAAGTGGAAGTTTGAATTGTGGGAGATAAACCAATGAGAAGTATGAGGTATAAGTGTTGGGGTGTAAAAGTAATAAAAAATGAAGCGAATGTACCTGGTCTGTCCACAATGTCGACAGAACCACTGGGTGGCGCAGCTCGGTCTATAGAAAATCCCAGATCATCAAACATTAAGACCTCAAACGTGAAGTCACCGATGTGGCGAAGAAGCATGTGGGTTCCAAAAGCAACGTCATTTTCACTCAAGAACTCAGTAAACCCACTGGAGAAACAGAAGTCGTCGACTTTGACAGGCCAGGACGCACCACCGTAAACAAGGTGAGCGTACCCCTTGGCATGTTCAAATAAATGCCTGTGCATGCATTCAGGGATCCGCTGTACAATAAAGCGCAAAGTAAATAGCAGTAAATTGGAAGTCAATAACAGACACACGGGGCAATGTCATTAACAAGTTGACAAAATCGTACAGCAAATTCAAACTCTGTGGCCTGCAAGAGGAACCAGACAACCGTGAATTGTAGGACATCCGGGAAATGAACCAGACCAGTTCTTGGGCATGCTAGAAAGGGCAAACAATTTCATCAAAAAAAGCGGTAAGGCTAAAACAAAAATGATTGACATGCTAGAAATGATTAACATTGTATATCATGGTTATCGAAGGCAAATAAAGCAAAAGCACTGTGGACGGGAATACAACCTTGGATTACGGGCATTGCAGCAGGGTGTTCCAGATAATGGTTAAGCTTATGTTTGATTTCTGCCTTGGTGTGGAATTTTTTTGGCAGCAGCCTGAAATACCCAGTAGAGCGCAAAAAGTGCTTCCACTCTTGACTGGCATGGCACTCATGCCCACCTTCATCGGTAGGGGTAAACATAGCAACAAGGATTTTTCTTCCGTGCACAGTCTTCACAAAGTACGAGAGTGTTTCTTCTCCATTGTTATTCTTTGTGGACTCAACAACACACTTCCTCAGCAAATCCATATAGCTGCAACCAATTTGGAAAATAACAAAAAAAAACTCAGAGCATCCTCGAAAATTGCAAAGGGAAAAAAAAAACATAAGTAAGAACAAACAAACATCTGGCCGTGTTCTTCACTTGAGGTAAATCAAGGACCAGCGAAACGGCATAAAGAGTGAAACGAAGGATAAAGGACAAAGAGGTATGGAATTTTCACTGTACACTAAAACACCATTACAGGTACTGCAAGCTGATGCATGGTTGGGAATCTTTGTGGTAAAATTTTCAGAAACAGGGGGATTGGGAGTCCAGCATGGGGATGTACCTGTGATGATGATCGGAGGAAGAATCGGTGCTGAGGTGCTTTGAACCGAGTGCTGAATTCTTCAGGCGTGCGGGAGGCAGAGGGTCGCGGGTTGTGTGGGGGAATAAATAAAACATAAAAGCTAGTTTTGCATGTTTAACAGCTGTTTTAAACAGAGCTATTTTAAAGTGTTTTCATATTATCAGATGGGCCTAATTGTTAATGTGTATAGACACATATATACGAATAAAATCCTTAGCTGTATTTAGGGGCGTGAAAAATTGATTCAAAAACCGATAACCAAACCGATTGAAATGATATACGATAGTGGGACGTGTTTTATTTTAAAAATGACCGGTCCGGATTAAAATACCCGATCCGAAACCGAAAACTCGGGTTTTAATTAGGGGTCTTAAATTGTAAGTCCGACCCGGAACGAAAAGACCCAATTTAATTCAGAAACTAAAATATATATATTTCATATAAAATATGTATGACCTATTCATATATCACAACGATATATATACGTACACACATATATATAGGGGTGAGATCACATACTAACCATTCCTCCCATGCTAACCTACAAACTATCAAAAACGGTGTATCTTTACATTATTTGTACTGCATATTGAAGTTCAAAGTGTTGCATATTATTTGTACTGCATATTAAAGTTCAAAGTTTTGCATATTGTTTTTATTGGATATTGAAATTCACAG